TAGTTGTGGTAGAGCTGTACACGTAAAGAGGTGCGCAAAGTTGGTGGGGTGGCCCGCTCGCTTGTATGGCCCGCTCGCTTGTAAAACACGTTATACTGAACAGAGGGCCTACCTATGCTGGTATTCAATAGAAAACAGTGACAAATGACGCATGCACTTGCCTTATAAAGCGTAGTGATTGATGCTGCGATATGGCGTAATTCCCAGAAACTTGTTTTCTACAAAGTCGCCGAAGTTATCCCGAAATTCAAGATTCCTTCCTTATGCCCACTTGTGTTGCAGATAAATCTATGATTCGATTTGGACCTATGCCGAGGACTTGCATATTTTGTACTCTACCATAACACCTTTGTTACCTTGTCGTGTTCTTTGGGTAAAGGAACATTACTACTTGGCTAATTTGTCAAGTACGTTTATCAAGATGTTCTTGGTTTCTCTGAAATGATGACGCACGTTATAGCTACTTGAGTATGTACGTAGTTGTGTACTATGTATGATTGTTGAGATTTTATTCGGCTATGTTCCTCCGCGTATAAATGCTTTGTCGAAAGGGGCCGATTCCCAATGGATCCAATATAGCTGATAGTGATACACCATGTACTAGCCTTCTTGTAGCACTAGCCGCGAACTAGTCCCACACTAACCAACATTATGTTAAGTTTACATACCCACGGCATTCTCGTATAAGAGCTACAATCTTCCGAACATTTGTTAGGCACCTGCTTTCTTATTACAACTGCACGGAACGCCATAAGCGATCATGCGTGTCACACTTTCCAATCTGGCACTTTTTGTCTGTGCTACTCTAGCCGCACCTGCGCCAAACGCCACAACGTCCACGCAAGAAACGCGCAGCCTTGACGAAATTTACGAAGCAGCTGTAGCTGAAGGTGGCGTTGTCACTCTTTGGCATGGCGGCGACGAAAAGACTCAGCAAAACGCCCTGAAGGCTGCCTTCGAGAAACGATTTCCCAAAATGACTCTTAACGTCACGGTCGACCTTTCCAAATACCACGATGGAAACATAGATTTGCAACTCGCAAACGACAATGTATACGTCGACAGCGTTATTCTTCAAACACTGCATGACTACCCACGCTGGAAGAAGGCAGGCGCTTTGATGAATTATGCGCCCTTGAACTTCGACAAGGTCTACCCCCAGTTCAAGGATGCAGATGCAGCCTACACCGGACTGTTCATTATTGCTTGGGGGTATAATACACCATGAACTCTATTCCAATGTCATTACTAAACAAACACAGTCTCTCTGCCAACCTGAACAAGACGAGTGCAGTGCCTACTGCATACGAAGATTTTATCAAACCTGAGTATAAGGATAAGCTCATTCTGACTTATCCTAACGATGATGATGCGGTCTTGTACCAGTTCGATATCATGTAAGTTCTTATCGTTATCCTTTGCACGCGGTTTATTGATTGAATGGCTAGCTTGGAAAAACTTGGCATGAAATGGTTCGACGCCCTGCTTGCCAATAACCCCCGCTGGGTACGCGGCACACAAACCCCAGGAACAATTCTCACAGGTGCCAACAGCACCAGCGTAGCAACATTCACTGGCAGCTATTCATTCACGGATCGCCCAGGAGCGTCATTTGCACTACCCACTGATGCCAAATTTGTCTCTTGGCCTCAGACTGGTGCCATCCTGAAAAAGGCACCGCACCCCGAAGGTGCAAAATTGCTCCATAGCTTCATGCTCAGCGATGAGTATCAGAAGGGTAATGGTAGGTGGAGCGTCCGCGAAGATGTTCCGGCGGCTGAGGGCCATCATAAAATTCTTGAGGAGCCTAACACGGATGCACCCGCATTTGCCAAGTGGATGGCAGACCGTGCAAGTGTCGAGAGGAGTAGGTTCTTCTATGAAGATAGAATTGGTACCGCGCAAGGTCTCAGCCCACTCATTGACAACCTATGAGCATGTTCTTTCTGTGGGAATTATCATCACTCTACAGAATTGGGGTAAAGATGTAAATAATACATTCATGTGTATATCGTGTTCCACGCGTATAGGTTGTGATTCTGTAGTTTAGGTCCTGCTCAGGGCGAAATGGCCAAACGCTGTAGTCTGTGCGATTATTAGGAGTTCTTATAGAAAGCAGTTCGCTGTTGAAGTTTTTTTGAGACTAAAAATTGATGTAAGAATGACCTTACAAAGAAGAGATAAGTGCAGCGCGTGCAATAATGAAACCCATCGCTCCAGTGATATGTGGTCAAAGAGGCATCTAGGTTGGAGTCTTGTTCCATCTGGTGTTTGGCCCTGAAGAAGTAAATGGCTTTGAAGAAAGTCGAAAACTCTAGCTTGATGCCCGTTTCGTAGTCGCAACTTTCTATCGTAGTAAGATTTAAGCCCATAAGTAATGAGATACTTGATATGATTAGGAAACAAGACTAAAGATGTTCATGCCCTGGGTTGAAGTCATCTGCGCTATACTATCTATAGATACTTCAACACGGCTGAGTACCCCCCCAGGCGCTGGAAACAAACCAACTTGTTCAACTACATAGCTTGTTCACTAATGTCCAAAAAGCATATGAACATATCCATTGTATTAGAAGCCCCCTTTGATGGGTATTTGGAGAAGAAACTTTCGTGCAATAAAGTAAAATCATGAAGAGATAGGTAGGCATTCTCCCGGTTCTGGACCACGCACCGCTTTTGGATAACGCTTTCTACAACACCACACAAGACCAACGACTAAAATGCTGGCCATGCTCCGCAAAATGGACATGCATAGATACAGCATACACGTGGCCATCAAAGTTCAAAGTGATAAGCTGAGACTTGGAGCAGCTTTTAAACAACTAAGACTAGCGATGGATCGCGAAAGAGGTAGAGTAAAGTATGCTACCCGTGGCACAAGTAGCACATAAATCTGGGAGTAGATCAATGTTTGGTGAGACATACAACCGCTTAGGCCACGGGCAGCTTGGTCAATCAACGACCCTACTACACTCAAGCCAGCACACGCCTGGTGATTCGATAGAGAAACGGTTCCTGAATCGCGATCACATCTACGACGTTGAAGAAACAGCATCTAAAAATAATGCGTCAGCATTCTCGTCTTCCCAGGGCAAAACCAGCAAGGACTCAACTAAATGGATATACTACGATACCAGATGAGTTGGGGAGACAAGAAAGAAACCTTTCGCGCATATTAGATCAATTATCAATTGTTTCGATAACGTTTACAAGGATCCGGAGTGCCGCATTCTAGAGAATCTTATTTACTATTGTAAAAGTGTCCGAGGTACGTGGAGGTTGGTACACAAATCTCCGGACATCGAGGAAAAGAATCGAGTCACCCTAACAACATTGCATCAGCTGATGCAGACGTTACAACATGTCAGAAAGCGTCCAGAATTCGGCCGACTATCCAATATTGCATTAGAAATTGACTCGTCGCTTCCCAAGCACTATACCATACATTGGCTGTATAAAGGTGTGTTTTCACATGACTGCATCTGCTTTGGATCAGGACTAGATCCACCAAGTTACGACACTACACAACCATATATAATTGGGTTCAATCACGGCCTCCCTAAACAACCAAACGAATACTCCTTTAATTCCTTTTAGCACAAGGCGGAAGCTCTGCGAGCGAAATATCAACAACTCTGGTATCACGTGGAAAGGGAAACGTTTTGCACTGCATTCGACTGATTTAGCTTGACTTCTGGAAAGGTCTTAACGAAGTGATCGGTACGAGAAGAGCATTGCTGACTAACTACACTACTTACGTCAAATCCCTGAAGAGGAAGGCTCCGCCATTCCGAGGTCGATGGATGGGTAAACGATTTGGACAACTAGTCCATGTCTTTTTAAGCTTTTCCTTTGGCCCTGGCAAGGCAGGAGATAGAATGCGAGTAATTAAGATGTTTCAAAGCCGTAAGAGTGTTTTGTGAGTGCTAAGCGGTCGTTGATTACAGATTTTAAATCACCAATCATCTTCATGGCGGTTGTAATGCTTTCAAATCTAATTTTCTAATAGCTAAAATAGCATCAAGGAATGCTGGTGCTTTTATCGACGGTTCTATTAATACATATAGTATAGAAGTTTGCGATAAATGGTAAAGAATCAGCTGTTAGGAAATAGACACATATATTTAACGTAATTTTGAGGCAGATCGGAGTCTTTGTATCGATGATGTGGGCCTCAATTACGCCGCTGGAAGATAGAGAGTAGCCATGATGGAGAATTCCTCCACAGCCTTAGACTCATTACCCCTGCGCTAGGCAACTTGTATTAGCGGATGATGCAGACGAGCAATTGTGACGACGCCAAACTCTTCCGCTGCGTGCTAGCGTCTTGTTTGCAGCAGATATAGAATCACAATCACTCAATATTAATTTGCGCAGTACATGCATGCTTACTTGTTGATGCATTAGGAGTGGAGTTATCATGATTGGCGCGCATGTCGCAGCCCCAATGATAATAAAGTACTCATGGAATATGTAGTGTGAGATATTGGGCACAACACCATGGTAGATATGGACGAGGTTTAGTTCCTTCTTCATGACGAACAAACAAGTAGCTGCACTAGTGTCATGTTCTCCAACAAAGCACGCGTTTCCATCGGCAGATCCGCCCTAGTATCCGCCACTATTCTTGAACTGGTACCTCAATAAAATCCCAAACAATGTCCTCGGAGCTCCAATCCATAATCTTGATCTTCTGTTTCGTCCCATTCTTGGATTCGTTCTCAAATACACCCAAGGGACGAAGATGGTCATCGTGACGTACTAGCAGAACGTACCCACCTTCTGGGCGCATTCGGGGAAATATGCGTTCGTTGTTTCGATGATGAGGAAATCTGCAAAACAAGATTCCGTGTTCTTGATAGCCGAGACAGTGCGCAGAAGCTGGATCCTTAAACCCTAACCAACCTTTCTCCTCAACGCACCGCCACCTGAAAGTGCCAAGCCCTCCTATTCTATCCATTACGACCTCGCCGTTTAAGAAAGTGATGACTTGTCCGTTTTTACGAGATTTAATGATGAAGGCTCGCCCGGGCCATGGGATAGAAGATGGTGGAGTTTCGCTCCTCGAAGCGTTCTGTGTGGTATCTTCGGAAGATGCAGAGGGGGTGGGAATATGCCACGTTTCAGATCCAACAAAAGAATGAGCTATGGGCTGATCGTGCGCCATGTTGTCGAACACTGGTTTCAATAATTGTTCACGATGTGCGGCGATTAAGTTATTCAGAAGGGTGCAGAAAGAGGGATGACCTGCTGAAGGATTGTCGAGGAACGATGTGCAGCCTGGGCGGACAGCCGAGGCGCAGTTGTCATTGGTGCTACAACCCCGCTGAAGTGGAGTAGCGAATCAACGCATGTTTATCAGAATTGTTTAGCGCCGCCCTCACATTAATCGTCGTAAAGTTACGGCGCAAGTGACTCGCACTAGGCTTGTCCGCCCAAGAACCCCTTAGAAAACTTTGATAAGCAACTTAAGGTACTCTGGAATATGTCTTCAAAAATTCTACCAACTCAACTGTCTAGAGCTACGAGTACTGTGATTTATTATATAGATATTACTACTACTAGAGTTTACGATCAGAATTTATAACATGATAGCTCTACTAGGCTCCGTACCCTAAAAAGGTTTAGTATACTTCACAGGCTGTATTTTATATACGTATGACATTCTCAGAGCGAGCCATCCCATGCGTACCGTCAAGAGTATGGTGATTGATAGAGAATTAAGTTTTTTTTCAATAACATACACGAAGTACGTCTAGGATAGTACTAAACTCTGTGAGTTTTAGTGTTTCAAGGCCTATCCATGATCCTAGTAGGTCTGATTACGATATTTCTCTCGCTGTTTGTTTCCACATTACAATCGACGTCGTCAATTTGCTGCTCCAAATCAGTTTTCACGTGGATAGTGCGCGGTAATCCCGTGTAGGACTCGGACACCACATTTCCACTGCGATAATGCAGTTCAATCTCATCTGAGATAGTGCCAGTACTGCCTTTGTCCTTGAGTTTAACAAACGACGCAGAGTCCTTGGGAGTATCCTTTGTTCCTCCGTACGTGCTCTTGCGGCTGCCGTACAGAGTCGCAAATCTAGGAATAGCTTTGACCACTAAAGGTTTCAAAGCAGGCGCACAAGCACAAACAATACCTAAGATAATAAGCGCGTTTCTTGTATGTTTGAAGATTCAAACTTACCTAGATTTACCTCGATAGCACTCCAATAGGCTGGCGCAGTTCCATAGAAAGTAGAGTCCTCGGGGTGTTTTGCAAGCTCGATAAAGCCATGCAATCGCGCAATAGAAATAATGCAGACACTTTGTCATAGTAGTTAGCACTGTGATGTGTACATGGAAAATTAACTTACCACCAGCCGAGGGTTAGGATGCACATGAGGGCGATCCGTTGCTTTCGTGAAACCTGAAGCTGCCATATCGCTCGTATAGGGAGGGCTGCAACGAGAATATCGGTAACAATGTTCATAGCGGCACCTGCGAAGGAGAAGCTAAAGACGGGTTAGACCACATTTCTAATTTTTGCCATAATGACACTCACACATTCGAATTTATGCATGTTGCAGTTTCCTTTTCACTGATATCCCAGAATGCAGATATTGGAATGCAAGAGAATACCAGAACAAGCGATGCACTAATGCCAGTTGCTAGGCAGATGGCTCCGACAATATAAATAGGTATTCTCATCGACGTGAAGGTAAAAATACGACGGTACTGTAAAAGTATCGACAGTTTTGTGAGGGTGAGGGCGTTTGCATACATCAAAATGCTTCCATATAAGTACTAGGCATTATTAAGGCGTAGTCATTATGGATTGTTGATATATCGTACCTTCAATGTCATTTCTATTTGAGGTAGTGTCAAGAACATCGTGTGTTTCGAACCCCCGTGTTTAGCTCCTTTACTTGTTTAGTATACGGAACAAGTGTCATTACAAACTGGATCGTACCTTCTATTTGAAAGACAGCCATGGCAATAGCATGCGCCTGATGTGATCAGTGACGTGTAATTGGGATATTATGTGCAGAGTCGTACAAACGATAATATAATGCAGTAATCTTCGAGACCAACATTATGGATAATAATTGAACGCGCGTAGATTCGTAGGCAAACCAAAATACAGCCAACTGCAGTGAAGACGGAGACGATAGAAATGAGCAGAGGGCCGCCGTCCTCTCTTTGCAATGCAGCAAGCCGCTCTGGAGCCAACTGTGGTGATGAGGGGCTGCCCATCATGGGAGCACTACAATGGTCGTTTTGGTTCTCTATGCAGCAGGGCCGGGTCGACACAACCATTAAGTAATGCACAAGAGAAAAAACTCAACACTTGCCAAAAGTAGTATAGCAGGATCTAAATAACCCTGGGCCCTCTTTTAACATGCGTACCGATCGCATTGTTGCAGATACACCCTAAAAAAGTTTAACCGTGCCCTCAGCGATTAGCTGGCTGTAGTCCTGGGTAAAAGACATGGCCCCCTTGCATGTTTCCATCATCCGATAGGCTTAACGTCTCAAGACGGAGCGCGTAAAAGTTCCGAGATCCCAGTTTAGTGCCGCCACCATCAAGCGCGATCATGGGGGAACTTTAAGCTCTTGCACTTGGAAAACTGGTCTGTAATGAAGCACACACTAACTCGACAATGATGATGCAGCGGTATAAGTTGCACAGCACCAGCCACTATAGCAAGTTGTATAACGTGAACGCGTCGATCTACTCGACATAGGTGTTCAACTGTCTGGTTCGTGAGGGTTGGAAGGTGAACGAAATGTAATAGGGTTAGGGAGAGCCCGTGGTGGGCCTTAAAGGATTTCCGCGCAAGGAACAGTGCATGCGAGAAAAGAGGGGTTATATGTGTGTATATGTACATGAAAGGGGTTCTTAGTGTCGGTGGTCTACCGCAGTAACTTTGAGGGATAGTCTGGGGAGCAACACGGACATGGGTTCCCGTGCCAGGATTGGCCATATTAGGGATCTAGGCTAAATCCTTTGCAGCCCTAACGTTCCAGGGTACGGGAATGACTTACGAATGTGGCTGAGAGTGCCTCCATTCCTCTTTGTTGCCTAGATGTTTATCACCCCTCAATTTACATTTACTGAATAACAGCTTCATGGAGTATTCTCCTCTCCCCAAGTCTTAGGTTTGAACCAAAACTCAGTCGGCCGGGTGGCTGAGTCAACCCATTGGAGCAATCATATTTACGTCGCATCAGCAATGCGAGGCGGAACAATTTCTGAGAAGCGATGACTTATATCGAGCTCTAGTGCAGCCAACTTCCAGGCCTCCAATCCGGATGCGACTCCGGGGACTCTGAGCCGTAGACTATAGTCGGCCTAGACTACCCTGTATTGGCTGCCCAGAATACGATGGCGTACTTCGATACTTTTCAGGCACAAGTGATCAAGCCACTCGCTCGTATCCTTGTCGTGTATTAAGGTTTGCTTAAATTGTCTGTGCTTGATGCAAGCTGTCGCGTCATCCGGGTGTGCATTCCGCGACAGTTCGCATTGCGCAAATAGACCAGTGCAGCAAAGTAGGCGCAATGTGTAGGATGGAGAACGAGACGCCGAAATAAGACATGCTGAACGAAATGTAATTATTCTGATAATGTTCGCGTAGCTTTCATATCGCAATCATCAGCCACATTGTCACCTACCGTGATTCAAAGCTACTGGCTGGGCTGAGCGCATGACAGCGTGTCTCGAATGGAAATAATGTTCGATCTCTGCTATTCCCTGTTCGAGTTTCGCTGATAAGAGGGAAAAGTTACTGCAAAGCAAGGAATAAATGGTAGCTACGTATGCAACGGCCGTCTGTCTTACTTGGAATGGGCTCTTAGCCCTACAAATAACAGATCACTTGCTGAGGGCGAATAAATTTTTTTTGATCAGAAGCTATCTGAACTAGCATCCGCATTGTCACATTGGCTAAACAGTGATAGGCTACCGTTTCAGATAGATTGGGCTCGAAAGCCTGGGTCGCCTGAATTTACTCGCTGAACGGGCTAAGGGTGCGAGAGAGTAACACAGTACAGCAAGAGCAGATGGAACGACCATAGCCTAGATTAAAGGGATTTGAGAAGAATGGGTGTCGCCTGCATGACTATTATTATTCCATTATAGTCCTGTATCAGCCGTTGGCTATGTAGGACTTTGGCCAAAGGCCGTTCTATCTAACT